CTGCTGAATTTGACTGGTTTTTAGTACTTCAGCTAGGTTCAGTTAGTGATCCATGACACAGGAGGAGGTACAGTGTTTATATTTGCTTGAAATCCTGAATAAGTAATAAATGCTTGCTTCATATAATGGTTTGGGTTGGAAGAGACCTTAAAGATCATATAGTTCCAACTGGCCTGCCATGGACAGGGACACCTTCCCCTAGATCATATTGCTCAAAGCCTCATCCAACCTGGCCTTGAACACTTCCAGGGATGGGGCATCCACAACTTCTCTGGGCAACCTGTTCCAGTGCCTCACCACTCTTGAGTGAAGAATTTCTTCCTTAGGTCTAATTGAAATCTCCCCTCTTTCAGTTTAAGTTCATTGCCCCTTGTCCTGTCACTACATGCCCTTGTAAAAAGTCCTGCTCCAACTTTCTTGTAGGCCCCCTTTAGGTACTGGAAGGCTGCTTGGAGCCTTCTTCAGGCTGAACAACCCCAACTTTTTCAGCCTGTCTTCACAGGAGAGATGCTCCAGCCCATTGATCTTCTTTGTGGCCCTCCTCTGGACTCGCTCCAGCAGCTCCATGTCCCTCTTCTGTTGGGGGCCCCAGAGCTGAATGCAGTATTCCAGGTGGGGTCTCATGAGAACAGAGTAGAGGGGCAGAATCACCTCCCTTGACCTGCTGGCCACTCTTCTTTGGATGCAGCCCAGGATACGGTTGGCTTTCTGGGCTGGCAGTGCACCTTGCTGGCTCATGTTGAGCTTCTCATCCACCAGCACTCCCAAGTCCTTTTCCTCAGGGCTGCTCTCGATCCATTCTCCGTCCAGCCTGTACTTGTGCTTGGATTGCCCTGACCCACGTGCAGGACCTTGCACTTGGCCTTGCTGAACTTCATGAGGTCCTTACAGGCCCAGCTCTCCAGCCTGTCAAGGTCCCTCTGGATGACATCCCTTCCCTCCAGCATGTCCACAACACCACACAACTTGGTGTCATCTGCAAACTTGCTGAGGGTGCACTCAATCCCACTGTCCATATTGCTGACAAAGATGTTAAACGGCACCAACCCCTGAGGAATGCCACTTGTCACTGGTCTCTGCTTGGACATTGAGCCGTTGACAGCAATTCCCTGAGTGTGACCATCTAGCCAATTAATTTTAAAAAAGCAGCTCTTGGGATTTCTCATGTTTACAGGTTGTCTTGGTGGGAGAAAACCAAAATTTGATGGCATGGAATTTCAATGTTTCCATCTTTCAGTAGATGTTGTTCTTTAAAGCTTATTTTTCAAGATTTATATATGTTCTAGGGGAAGAAACCTCAAACAAACCAACAATCACAAACAAACAAAAAAAGGTTACAGTGTAACGTATCAGTGTTTTGCCTCATCCTTTTTTCTCTCAAATGCTGTTGTAAAAATGAACAACTTCCAAGATTGGCATGTATTGTATGAATTGTAATGAGTGTTCTGATTACATTAGTTTTAAAAGTAATAATCGCTTTGTTTGTTTTCTAATTTCAGGAGAATAACATGGGGAAGTTCTAGAACCTTGAGAATAACTCAGCACAGTAGTCTTGTATGCTGCGGGAACTAAGACTAATCTCAAGAATTCACTTAAAGAAAAGGAAGACCTAAAATCATGCCATCTGAAAAGGAGCAGGTGTTTTGTGATAAAAAGCAAATGAATTTGTTAAAACACAATGCTGCAAATAATTTTTCTACAGATACTTTGGAAAAAGCACTGGTGAACGATCCTTTAAGTATGATGACTCAACCAGCAATTTTATATGGTGATCTCGCGTATGAACTAAAGAATGTGAAAATTGATTTGCCCAAGGTGAACATTCCAAATGAAGTATTAATGAAACATGAAGTTGATAGATTTAGAAAACTCTTTCAGTGTAAACAGCAAACTGCAAGGAAGTCCTTAAGTCTAGAGAAAATAAACGGAAGCAGTCCCAATTGTTCAGAGGGAAGCCACTTGCAAAGTAAACCAGAAGTGCAATTTGAAAAAGGGTTGAAAACTACAGTGAAGATACTGAATTTCACTTGTACGAAGTGCAAAGATAACATTAGATACAGCCCAAATGATCTACAGAAACATTTTCAGCTGTTACACTATGGCGAGTTGCCTTCGTATCCTTGTGAAATGTGTAACTTCTCGGCTAATGACTTCCAGTCGTTCAAACAGCATAGACGCACCCATCGTAGCACTTTAGTAAAATGTGAGCTCTGTAATGATGAGCAGGTGTACACTTTGTTGGATTTGACAAAACACTTCACATCAAAGCATTGTGTAAATGGTCACTTTCGATGTGAAAAATGTGGGTTTTCTACCCAGGATGTGGGCACATTTGTTCAGCATATTCACAGACATAATGAGATTCCATATTCATGTGAAAAATGCCATCACGTAAGTTTTACAAAAGAGGAGTTCCAGAAACATCATCTTGTTCATACCAGTATGTTTCCTTTTGGTTGTCAATACTGCAGTTACAGGACACCACGGAAAGATTATCTTTTGAAACACATCATAGCTTTGCACAGAGACCACTTATATGCAAAAGAAGAACTGGAAAAGGATAAATGTGAAGAAAGAATAGTGAAGACTCCAGCAGGACTGAAGCTTGTGTTAAGAAGGTGTAAAATGGGACCATCCAAAAAAGCATTCTGGAGACGGAAAAAAGTAAGCAGTGGAAGTGACAAAACTGGAGAAAAAAATGCACAAGTGCTAAGAAGTGTGAATAAGATTCAAACAAAAGCTGAGGAGCTGAACCAGTGTGTGAGAGATATGGAAGAAAATGAAGAGAAAGATCAAATTATCTATACAGAAAAGCATAACTTCACGGGTGGAACGCTCTCTGCTACTAATGCACAATACAATAAAGCAGATGATGAAACAAGTTATGGCCTGGGATTACTGAAAAATGCTGTTCATGGGCCAACAGTACTGACGGTGAAAAACAATAAAATATCTGTTCCACCAAATTACAGTGCTAAATTTATGGGATTTAAAATGGTAGATGGAAAACAACATATTGTTATAAAATTATTACCTACAAATAAGCAAAATTTACATTTGTTGGGTCAGAAAGTTGATCCTGTTAAAGATGGTTCTACAACTCCTTTGCTACAGACTGCTGATCCCTGTGGCTTGTCTTCAGGTGCTATACCGTATGTAACTGATCAGTCAACCTTAAAGAACAACTCTGTTCATCCATTAACCTCCTCTCTGTTTTCTTGTTCTGCTCCTCATTCAGGAAAAACAAAAGTAGAAAAACAAAATAACTGTTTATTGTATGGTAGCAGTGTTTCTCAAACTGTAGCACCTTCTAATGTAGCTGTAGGAAAAAGTTTGAATTATTTGCCAGTGAAGTTGGGCTCAGCTGTACCTCCATGTGATGAGGTGACAAAAGTTGGAACTCGAAGTAATATTTCGTGGGGAAGCTACAGTCCTCCAAGTCATCCTCAGGTGTTACCACCCCCTATTACAAATACGCTTCACTATGACTCTATGAACATGCCCTTCTTTTCGGAACTGAAAATGCAAAATGGTGGCCTGAGTAATAGTAATGGAACTAATAATCTCTATTATTCAACTTCAGTGGATTCTTCTAATGAAGGGTTGCTGTCTTTTCACAACTATTCAAAAGTGGACACTTCGGATAATCAATGTAGCATTTGGATGTCAACAGATGACAGATACAAAGAATTTATATCTAGCAAAACAGTTCCTTTTCAAAACAGTAGAAGTGAATCTGCGTCTTCATATTCAGAGTTGATGAAAGGCTTAAAACCAGAGAAAGTTGTATCAGCCCCATCAAATATTAATAAAACTTACATAAACACTAAGAATAACTCTGCGTCTTCTAAAAACCAATCTAAATGTGTTGACAGCGAGTGTTTTATGGAGGACCAGCATAATGGCCAGCAGTATTTGGATACTAACATACATCAAGACTTTGAGAACGTAGCTGAAAAATTCCAAGAAAATGCTTCTGATTGTGTTAACTCAGTCTTAATGCCTAAAATCACATCTGTTTTCTCATTGCAGAGTGAACAGGCAGCTAATTATTTATCACCTGAAATAAACCAGTTACTACAAGATGTGCTAAAAGCAAAAGCAACTACTCAGCAAGAATCTCACAGCAAGTCAAATAACTGTGTAAAGCTTCATTCTGACAAGCTGCTTTCTGATCATGAGACAGGGAATAAAGCCTTTACACATTTAAAAAGCTCGGCAGCTGCAAGTGGTTTTCAGAGGCCTCCTTCTCATTTAGACTTTCATTTATATAAGAGAGAGTTGAACACAAGATGTAGCACAAATGAAGGTACACATTGTGGGATTGTGGATTGTGGGAGAGAAAGACCAACACCCAGAACGTCTTTTGATTCACAGGGAATAAATAAATTATCCAGAACTCCAGATGTTGGTACGTTGCTAAAAACACATACCGATGCAATCATAACACAGCAGTTAGTAAAAGATAAAATACTGTCTACAACCCAAAATCCTAGCAGCTTTTTGCCTGTTCTTCAGGAACAGAAGAAAACCCTTTTAGTTCAGTCCCCTCCATCAGGATTTTTTGTTCCTTTGCACCTTGCTAACCAGCCTGGACTACAGGTGGTTTCAGGAAAATCTCTTCCGTCAACCAGTTCATCAGATGGGCATGTGACTAAAGGCGTACCTGCATCTTTTGTTTTAAGTAAAGGACCTGGAATGATTTTGACTTTTAGCGGGGCAATTGGAACAGTTGCAAATGTCCCTAGTGATAGTTCTCAGGTTTTAGGGAGAGTTGCATCCAGAGAATATGGTAAAATAACCATACCAGTTTCAAAAATGGAGGGGAAAAATGACGGTTTCAGAAGTGTAAGAACTTCCTGCAATAGGAGAGCATGTAGCACAGCGAATGACTCATTGAATAGCATGCCATTCAAAGGACCTCTTGTAATTACAAACTCATCGGAGTCATCTGTGAAAGGAATTTCTTCTATGAAGATGTTATCAGAGCATGAGGATGCTGTCTTTGGTTCCTTGGAGTCAGTAAACCAACAGGAAATTAAACAGAAACAACGTGTTTATGCACTTTTGCCTGATGGACAGCAGGCAGTTTTTCTGAAATGTATGACACCAAACAAGCCTGTAGTTCATAAACATAGTGTTTTTCAGGATAATGCTCATTATCAAAATTGTCAACCAAAGAAAACTGGAGCCATGCAACAAAAGCTTTTGCTGAAAATTAAGACTACTTCAGATGCACTGGCTGATACCACTCAGTCAGTAAGCAACTCAGTGCCCTCACTACAGCTGGATAACCTGCAGTCCCTTACTCCTGCACTAGCACAGAAACAAACTAATCTTTCTTCTAATGATGCCTTAATCTTACCAGGTAGGTTAATGCCAGCAAATGCCTCTTTGGCAAGCTCTAATCCAGCCTGTTGTGTTCCTCCTGCAGAACCTGTTTATTCTACCAATTCTGCAGGGACACAGTTGCAAAAAGGTTCTATTGAGAGTACGCAAGTAATAACTGCTAACAACAGGAATAACTGTGGTGGTCAGAAGTCCACGTGGAGCACTCGGAACAGAACTGCAAAAGTAAAACCTCGTTTAAAACAAACTGGGTCTAAAAGTTCAGAAACTGTGGGTGTGCAAAGAAACAAGAATTTCAAACGGAAAAGTAAGGATAATTGCCCAGAACCTCCAAGAAAGAAAGTAATGTTGCACAGAAAGTGTAAGGAAAAGAATCAAGTGGAAGTTGATAGTGAATCAGGTGGCCCTTACAAACCAAGGGCATCAAAAGAAACTGTAAGGACTTTGAAATTACTTCCTTTTAATTCTAAACAGCTTGTAAAATGCCCTCGGAGAAATCAGCCAGTTGTTGTGCTTAACCATCCTGATGCAGATGTTCCAGAAGTTGTAAATGTAATGAAAACCATTGCTAAATTTAAGGGACATGTTCTTAAGGTTTCATTGTCAAAAAGAACTATCGAGGCGCTTCTGCAGCCAGCCTTCTGCAACCCTTTGGACGTAACTACTGATGATCTTTCTCAAAAGAGGCACAGGACAATAAAACCTATTAGCCCTGTAAAAGAAAGATTTGTCTTAAAATTGACACTGAAAAAGACTAGCAAAAACAATTATCAGATTGTGAAAACTACCTCTGATAATACTTTGAAAGCTAAGTTTAGCTGCTGGTTTTGTGGTAGAATATTTGACAATCAGGATAATTGGGTAGGACATGGACAGAGGCATCTGATGGAGGCTACTCGAGATTGGAATTCATTAATGTAGTGATGACCAGTGAAGAAAAGAAAATTTAAATATCATACGTTACAGTTTTATAAAAAGAGAATGAATTGAATTAGGATACCGAATTAATTTTGTTTTGTATTTCAGTATTGTAACTGAAGTTTAAAAATAATGCAAAGTGCTTGTGTTTTAAAAGGCAGATTCTCTATTGCCATCAAGCTTTGAGATACATCAAGGAGCTTTGTGGTTTAGATAACTTGTAACTAACTGCCAATACAATTCCATAAAAAAATATATTATTTTTTGTTACTGCTATCATGTCCTATATTTTTATTCTATAGAATGAATCTTCAGGGCTTTTGTTCTGTACATATTTTAAAAAAAACCAACCTAAACATGTAAATATTTTTATACTTTCCAGATATTTGGTATAATTCTTGCACAGAAATTACCCCCGCCCCCCGTTTTTCAGTTCTGTGCATGCACTACTAAAACCAATTTTTAAAATTTTTTCAACTACACACAGCTGTTATCCTGGGGTTTTTGTAATTTCACTTGTTAGCTTGTGGTTTTGTTTTTCAGGGATTGAACACTATTGTTAGCAAGTGCCTAAAAGATGTGAAGCAGTTTACATCATGTCAACTGTGTAACCATAGGTCCATATAGGGCCGTTTCCCCAGTAGTTTCATTTAAACAAAGCCATATGTGAATGCTTTAAGCTATATTGCTATGCACATGACACTTGTACTATTTCTGTGCAGTTTGTCTACTTTCTTAGTGAAGTATTTTTCATATAAATTAATAAAACATGTTACAATTGTGTTAATACGGTGAGACTAAGAATGGAATCATTTTAAAATATACAGTATATATATTCATAATGTATATGGTGTTTAAGAATGGTGAACATTCCTAATCTGTATTGACTCTGTCACTATTAAATTTGCTATAACTTGTGTTTACAGAATACGACTGTGAGCATTTATAGAAAGTATGTCTGTTTTGTTTTATACTCTGTCTGCCACAAACCACATAGGAAGGCCAGGATATGGTGAAGTGCAAAGCACCATTTCAGACCTGTAACCGCGTTATAATTTTATTTCATGTGGATGTAATTTGCCCCCATAATGACTGAACAGTATTTTCTACTATTGCTTATTCAGATGAACTGCTTTTTGGTACCAGGCGTTTGGCAAAACCAAGGCTTGGGTTACTCCTTCCTCATTTTACTGGCCAGTAGGGTACTATTCCTAGGAGCCTGCTTCCTTCCTATTTAAAGTTTTAGGGATAACGATGAAGGGAGAGTATGCTTCACATTTCTTAATGTTTATGTGAGGGTATGTAAACAAAATTCCTTACGTGTAGTGACTCAGAGTATACAAATGAAGGTCCTTATTATCCACAGTAATTTTTATGCTTAGAGGCTTTGTCCTCCAGATTCTTGATGAACCCAGAGGCTAGATCCAGTGTTCAGTGGGAGTGCCCTTACTATATGGCACCTTTTGCCCAAGTACTGGAATATTACATCTTGGGTGTGTAAGTCAGCTTCCCAAAGTATTGACGGAAAAACTGTCAAAATGGAATACTGGACTTAGAGGGGATTGGGACATTTAGATCTCGAAGGTTTTAGACTGTGTGCAAGCCCAGGGGTAGTTCTCTGTGACTGTTTCCGTAAGGTGAAAGTGAAGATTGACTTGTTACCAATGAAACAATTGGAGATATTTGAAGGATGTCGTCAGTAACAGAATTTGACTTACGTTTAAAAAAGTATTATAATGAAAATGATTTAAAAATAATTACTTCAGTAGCTAGATACGTTTTTCTTTCTTGATGTGTCTGTTGGCAGGAAGATGCACACTAGCCTTGTATCTGAAGAGTTATGTGTGGGAGTCGACTGAAGTACCTGAGGCAGTCAAGGCAGCGTAGTTTGGGTGAATTAATATACAGATGATGCGTGTTCTGTATCAAAATTGGATCATTTTGTGCTGCACAGTGGGCTTGAGCTTTGATATTTATTTGGCTAGGAACTTTGAAGACTAGTATAGTGGTGAGGAAGTGTGTTGGAAAGAAAGAGCATTAGGAAAGGACGAAAATGCGTTATGCATTTTTGACTGGAAAGATCTATTGGCTGCCTTAGCTTGCTCTCCTATAAACCCTGAAGTTGAACCCCTAAATTCTGGACATTGCCATTGCTGCCTTTGGCAGCAGTATCTGTGAAGTTTGTTGCTAAAACCTACTCAGTGCAACTTCACCAAGGATGACCAATTTTTGTTAACAGTTACTTAGCATTGAGGTGGAAATGCTGCTATAGAGTTAGGGAGTTTTTCTCTGTATTGATGAATCATGAGAATGACAACTGTCACTGAATTTTTTTTTCCCCTCCACCTTGTTTTCTTAGGAATTGGGTAACCTTAAACAATACTGTGAAAAAGAATATTGTAAACCTAGGAAATGTTGAAATAAGGTTGCTTTATACAATCTTAATTCATTGTCATGTGTCACTTTATCCATGGACATCCATCTCATTAAGTGCAGAATTGCTCCCTTTTGAGCAGTGATTTAGGATTTTGTTTTCCCACCCTTAATTATGTCCTAGTATTATTTAGCACACATTGTTCAAGTACTGTTCTGAACATATAATTCTTTTTTTTTTTTTCTCAAGAGCTTTTCCATAATGCTTTGTTTGAGGTCTTAGGAATTTGGCACTTCTGCAGATGAGATTTCAAAGAATCTCAAGTGAGACTTCAGTGACATTAAGATCACAACTGATGGTCATCAGAAGAAAGTTTGGCTTAAGCAGTCTGACCAGCATCACAGTAGAAGGTGCAGAGACTATACAGTTCTTCAATGAAATGTTCAACTGCTTTAACAATACGAGGCTACTTCTTTACTGGCTGACTCCTGCAATGTTTGCGCATTTCTCACCATCTTCAGTGAATGGGAAAGGTATTTTACAATCCTACAAACCACAGTCTTTCATTACACAGCTATGATTTATCCCTGAAGTATCGTGTGAACCAACTGAAATATATAAATCCACGTGGAAAGATATAGTCAACGATCATATATTTAATGCTTGTATTGTAATGGATATATCTGATGCAACAAATTAAGGATGCACAGGTAACCTGATTTTAAGAGTGTCTTGATTTTAAGTGCGTCTTGATTTTAAGTGCTTGACTTTGCAACCATAAGATTTTAAGATAGCTTGTAACATTGCACATATAGCAAGATAAGAAAATCTTAACTTGGTTGTAGTGTTTTGGGACACACAAAAATAGGTGCAAGTGCAGGGTCAACAAGTGTTTGGTTATTCATGTGTTCATGTAAAGTGGCCTTAAAGGGGCCTAAAATCTAGGCCCATTGTATATTCTTTGCAAGATGAATATTCATCAGTAAGTCATGGTTTCTCTTCCTCAGTAATTCCAATGTTTTAACAAAAAAACTTGTGTACAGTATTTGTTCCAGGGCTCTTGTCATGTGAGACCTATTTTTTTTTTTTACAACAGTTCCTAAGAATCTGCCTGCTGCTGGTGGTTTAGATCGAAGGAGGAATGTAGTGTTGTAACTTGCATGTCTGAACACTTGGATTTTTGAGAATGCAAAGTTTTACTCCTTTTATGGAACAACATTGTCAGGAATGATAATGCAGTACTCATTGTACTCTCCTTTCTGTATCAGGTAGGCAGACAACGCTTCTGCTCCTTTGTATGTTAATAAATACAATACTTTGTCCTGAGTTCTCAGACAAAAAAAATTACCTCATTTTAAAGCCAGTGTTTTAGTTCTAATTTTAGGTCTTTCTTTGTTTTTTTCCTTACTGTTCAGTTAATGACAATTACAGTTCTAATTTTAGGTCTTTCTTTGTTTTTTTTCCTTGCTGTTCAGTTAATGACAATTATATGCTATTTTATATCTTTGCAAAATGCAAAATTAGCATTCAGGATGGAGCATACTATATAGAAAATCCTGATGCTATTCATTCAGCAGCCAATACAGAATCTAGGAAATGGTAACTTGGTGCAGTCCTATGCCTGCAAGTTGCTCAAAACTTTCTCTTCTCCAGTTAAAATTGTTTTTTCAAATATGTCTACACCACAGTCTGCCCAAACTCTAAAATATGTAGCTTGGATACGGAAAGCAGAGTAACTAGTCTGCTTCCTTTCTTCCTATATGAAACTATGAGTATACTAAAGTAGGTGATCACATACTGGTGTGTTGGTTTATTTTTTATTTTTTTTTTCTCTTCCTATGGAGCTTTATTTTGTGCCTAGGATGTTCTCATTTCAGGGTGGATGGATTATTTCATGGAAGGTGGTACCTATCAAACCACTGCCTCATTTTGTTGTCAAAACTGTAAGGTACTCCTGTAATGATGTAGAACATGGCTAAAAAGAAAAGAAGGGTTTGAGGATGAAAGTAGTTGAGTATTTATCTAGAGCGTTTTAGCCACAAAGTTCTATGTAAGTTCTATGTAGTGCTGAGTGCTTAGAGCTGAGGGGCAGGAGCAGCTGTGCTTTCAGTATGGAAAGGGCTCAGTATTGCTAATTACCTTAAAAAAACCTGGTACTTAGTCTTTCATATACAACTCTATAGGTACACTGGAGTTTCACTTTTCATGCCTTCCCCCCCCCCCCAGTTCTAGAATGATTGTGATACAGCACATTTAACTCAGAAAGCAATGTTTGAAGAACCTAGACACTTTTGCAAGGAGCAACAGTTTTGTTAAGAACAACGTTTAAGTACTATGTGGTACATGAGTGAATAAGGCAAGGACTCTACACGAATGGAAAGAAAGCTAAATATTGAGTGGCTGCTTTTCCACAGAATATTTTCTGTTTTAAGTATTGCTTGAAATAGTAACCTTCTAAAGTGATGTTTCATGTAACTAAATACTATCAAGAACACACATATAGAAGGAGTAAATTAAGCTTGCAGATACTAGTAACTTTCATTAATTTTGAGGCCTTGACTGGGCAGTCCTAATGTTCTAAACATTACACTAGTACTAAGCATAGTATCTTTATAACACTAATTAATAC